TTTGATCTTCGCTAGGCCTACTTCAGGTTCCAGGATCACCACGGATTTTCCCTTGAAACACACTAACAGTAGGTGAGATAGCCCCAGCAGTACAGGATCTTGTTGTTGTGCAGAGTTTTCATGATGGTGATGAATTCCCTTCTGGGTGACATAGTGGAGGTTGACAGGCCTGTGAAGATGTTTATATGCTGGTACGGTTCTGGTAGGCTCTGTAGTTTCCTCGTTGCATTGAGAGTTGTTCCTTTGATTTAAAATAGTGGAATCTTGCTATGTTGTCTCTTGGGGTGTCAGCGCTAAATAGTGTCGGTTGTGGCAGTCTATGCACGCGGTCCAACTCCCAAGCTATGTCATCTAGGCATGGCACCAGAGAGCCTTGATTTTCCCCCTGCATCTCCTCTGCCCCGGAAACATATATTGTTGCGCCTTGGGCAATCTTCAAGGTCGGCCATCTCGTGTTTTAATTTTTTGCAGCCTCTTGACTACCTCATTATGCGCCTCACATCTCCTCACTTTTTTTCTCCAGGTGACTCGTCCGACCGCCTAATTCCGCCATGTCTTTGCATAAATTGGTGGAGAGTTGCTTAAAATCTTTCTGCCACATAGACCTTAGTTCTTGCAGCATAGTACGCAGGCTCCTTTCCGTGAGCGGGTTTCCTCTTGGGAAGTGAGGATAGTGTCTGGTTCCAGAGTCCCCCCATACAAGGGCAAATGCGCTTCAGCATTGCTGCCATCTTGAATTTGCCACTGGCAATCTTTTTTGCCTGTGTGCACCAGATAGGAGAGTTCAAGCTGTTTCGTTGGTGGCATCCGTGTTAGTGGGATATACACCAGTAGATGCTTGTTTTCAGAACCCCTTTTGGACGGCTTTGTCATGTTTTAGGCGTAGTGAGTAAGGGAGCTCTCACTCCATGCGACCTCTGCAAGTGGAAGTCAGACACGCCCTCTCGGTATGAGACTTTAAGGAGACGAACAAACTTATAGGAAACTAACCAAGGACACTACTAATGAAATGAAAATATATTTTAAATTGATTGAAAATGGTAAGGAGTCAGGAATTTTAAATGAGAGAGAACTTAAATTCCTGATATACTTAACCATAGGATACCGGTTTTCTATCACCTCCCGAAAGTCCACAAAAATAAGGACAATCCCCCAGGTAGACCCAAAGTGTCTGGCATTGGCTTGTTGTCAAGTAAGCTATCCCGATATATTGACAAATATCTACAACCAGTGGTTACTAGAGATGAGCAGACACCTGGATGTTTGGGTTTGCCGAGTTCGGACGAACTTTGGCAAAAAGTTTGAGTTCGCTTTGCATGTAGATGCCTGGTCATGCAGGTTGTGCTCAGGTTTAGAACATTTATGCCTCACTTCAGGCTCTGATTGCACAGCGTGCAAACCACACGTGTTTTGTTGTCAGCACATTGTCTGAAGAACAGCCACGCCAGGGAACTCTTTGGAGCTGGTTTTGGTGTGCTCGGTCCCTGGGTGCGGTAGGCAGTAGCAGGCATACTGTCTAGGGGACGGCCACTCCGCTTTTTGCACCCTGCTCCCTCTTATGCTGTGCTGGTGCTTCTGTGCGACCACCGCCTCTTCCTCCAAACTGGACATGCCACTCACATGACCTTGATTCCATGTGAGGTCTAGGACCTCATCATCCTCCACATCATCTTCCACCTACTCCTCAACCCTGCCCTCCTTGCCGGTCTGCACACTGCAGAAAGCCACAGCAGTTGGCACCTGTGTTTTGTCATCATCAGAGACGTGCTGCGGTGGTCCTCGCATGTCCACATTCTGACACATAAGTGGTTGTGCATCAGTGCACCCAATCTCTTCCATTTCTGGGGCAGGGCTAGGTAGATGACTCATGGAAACCCCGCCAGCAGAGTCATCAAAAAGCATAAGAGACTACTGCATGACTTGTGGCTCAGACTGCTTGGCTATTTTGCAAGGGGGTGGGGTGAAAGACAGATGGCCATGGGCTGCAGGTGCCAACTCTGAGCTTTCAGCAGGGGACCGTGTGGGAGACAATGTGAAGGAACTGGAGGCCCTGTCAGCCATCCAATCTACTATCGCCTGTACTTGTTCTGGCCTCACCATTCGTAGAGCGGCATTCGGGCCTACTAAATAACGCTGAAGGTTCTGTCGCCTAATCGCACCTGAGGAAGGTGTTTCACTTGTGCGTGTAGCTGGCACAGATCGACCACGTCCTCTCCCTGCAACAGGAGCTCCACCAACACCAGCAGCACCATGACCAGGGCCACATCCCTTATTTGACGCTCTCCTCATTCTTTGCGTTCACCCACCAAACTAACAGATGTTTTAAATTTGAATTTTTCAAAGTGCGCTGTAACCATAGTATTTGACGGTTCTATTTGACTCTCAGATATGAAGTGCACTGCAGGCTGCAAATGTACTATTTAGCACCCAAAAAATTTACAATTTTCAAAGTGCAATGTAACCACAGTATTTGACGGTTCTATTTGACTCTCAGATATGAAGTGCATGGCCCAAATTTACTTTGTAGCACCAAAAAAATGTGAATTTTCCAAAGTGCGATGAAACCACAGTATGTGACGGTTCTATTTGACTCTAAGATATGAAGTGCACGCTCCAAATTTACTTGCAGTTGCAAGTGCCCACCTAACAAACAGACTGATTGCTTATTTCTCTGTGGCACTGGGCTCAGGGCAGGGTAC